GTAAACTATTAGTATCTCAAAACTGATAACCTGTCAAAACTGATACAAAAGCTGGCCACCATGCATATCGGTTTAGGGAGGTTATACTGTAATTAAAATAAAATATAATTAATTATACTATATATATTTTATATAAAAATATGGTTAACGTTAAACATGAAACATACAGTATCAAACTACGTACGTATAAAAAATTAGAATTATTTATGATCTAATAAATACATAATATTATATCTAGTGTAAATAACGATAAGTTTTTAGTGCAACAGAAACAAATAGTACGTATACGGTATATATACAGTATATAAATAATTCTTATCAGATATAATCCTTATAAAGACCAAAAAATCAAATATACCGTAAAAGGGTTAAAAAGACCAACAAAAATATTTGAGAAACAAAAATCGTTATACGTAGCTCTTTAAAAAAAAAAGGCAAGCCGAACTTTTTAATTAAAAATTAAAATAGATTATCGTTTATATAAAATTCGGATTTAAATGCTTATCTTATCGAAAAACCGTAAATAATTTCAAATAATTTCAAATAATTGCAAATAAATTCAAATAAATTAATAATAAATTCAAATAAATTAATAATAAATTCAAATAAATTAATAATAAATTCAAATAAATTAATAATAAATTCAAATAATAAATTCAAATAATAAATTCAAATAATAAATTCAAATAATAAATTCAAATAATAAATTCAAATAAATTCAAATAATTGCAAATAATTGCAAATACGTAATTGCAAATTAACGATAGGCCATAATCAACATCTCGTACGCACGTAACTTTTTAACGGCAATGTACGTACGAAATGTTATTAATGTAACGTTAACATTTACTTCCTAAAGGATATTATTCCGTATAATGACCATTGAAGCATTTATTACATCCTATATCGATATATTTCACAAATACCGGATCATTTTAATTTCGGATCAGACATTTATCGATACGTATATCAAATTATGGACAAAAAAGGGTGTCAAGGGGAAAATCTTAATGAAGCTTCTTTTTTCGAAATACACATTCTTTGCACAATTCATGATAATAGTTTATCATATCTAATCATATAATTGTAATTAAAGTCTTTTTTTTTTTATTCGACTATTCTTTGCAATAAGGGGAAATCTTAATAAACCTTCTTTTTTTGAAATACACATTCTTTGCACAAACTCACGATAATAATTGTAATTAAAGTTTTTGCAATAAAATGAGTTTCTTTTTTCTATCAAAAAAAAAGCACAAAGGCTTTATTTAGAACGTTCATTGAGTGACCTTATGATTGCTATATACATAGATATATATTGTTTCCAAGAACAAATAAGGATGCACCATATCCCCAGTGAGCACAAATGGATTTTTTTGTTTGCTTTCGTTATTTCTTGTGCAAGCGATGTTTTAAAGAAAGATAAATCAATTACTGAAGATAGAATTGGTTCGGTTTTATTTCAAACACCAATAACAAAACCATAAAACCTAAAACACCAATGAAATAGATTCATTAAAAGGTATTTGGTTTGTTTTTATTGATTGCTTCTCAGATGTTTACAGAATGTTAACAGAATGTCAACAGAATGTTAACAGAATGTCAACAGAATGTTAACAGAACTGATGTTGCAAAATCTCTCTTCACTGATAAGATTGCACGTAATTTATTTCCTGAACCAATCGGGCAATCTTGCGGAACAGTTCAGGTTACTATGTGCTTTCTCACGCGCATGTAAATTTTCTCAGGCATGATTGATTTAATAGTGTTTAATAGTGTTTAATAATAGTGTTTAATAATAGTGTTTAACAATAATGTTCAATAATGTAGGGGCGGAATGCCCGATGATTAAAGTGGCACCATCTCGGTTAGTCCATCTTTTCAATTCAATCTTTGTCATACGCGCAATTCTGTTTTTGTTAAATTGTCCCAA